AATACGTTCACAGTTTTCTATGATTTCGTTAGCTGTTTTCGACTCGTGAAACCTTAGATTGATGCGAATCGAACAAACAACTGGTATAATCAGATAGAGATAAAAAAACGTACGTTCATACTTTAGTGAGGTATCCATAGGTCCAGTGTTTTGAATATTATATTTTGTCGTTTTCATATAATTTTTTACCAAGAGAACAAAGCTTAAAAATTGCTTGAATAGAACACAGAACTGGCATAACAAAGAAATAGCAAACGGTTATACCACTTTGATGAGGTGTATTTACTCTCTTGTATTCAATTTGTTTGTTTTGTAGTTACCTGGACAACTTTTTTATTGCTTACTATCACAATCATTTTCAGTATTCACAAGCGCGGTAGAGCGCAAAAACAAAAAGTAAAGAAATGGCGAATCAAAGAGGCTGTATTGCATTTTTGGTTTCTGGATTTCTCTTTAGATTAAAACACATAAAATCTCCAGTTTTCTAGTACAGCCAACACAATAAAGATATTGTTTATATAACATGTGAGCTTAAAAACGATCTCTAGCAAATTACTATGTTGTTGTAAGTAAAAAATTTCATCAAGTTCAGTATTTTTTTAATTCGTTTCGAGCTTTCTTGCAACCTGCTCACGAATACTTTAAGCGACCTCATATATACCATAATATAAATTTATATGGGCTTAAAAGAGTCATAACCTTCAAATAGATGTAAGACCGGATAGTTTAATTTTACATAGCACTTTCGGTTCATCAGTTTAAAGGTAGGGGATTACGTAGAGATTTCTCCTTTTATTATGCCAAAAAGCCAATATTGTCTAATTTTGGTTTAAATGGCAAAAGCAGCACGGAAACAAAACAATATTTTGGCACTATTTATTATGTACCAAAAACAAGAAACTAAGCCAAAAAAAAAAACCGTGCGAAAAAATGAGGAAGAGATTACGCTTCTATAGCCATTACTTTCTTCACTTCCACAGCTCGTCCTTAAATAGTCTTTCCAGGATGGCGAACCACTTAAGCAACTAGTGAAATGAAATGCTTATTGACTTTAAATCAACGCAGCGCTTATCGAATAGGTCTAATGGCTTAATTGTGATAAACGAGTAATTAATTTTTCATAAAATAAAAGAGCACGTAATTTTAGCCACGTACTCCTAGGTGTACCTTCATATACTTGTATGTACATACATAAAACGTACGTGTTCACCTATATATTCGAACGAATACTAAGCGTACGTGCTCATTTCCTCACCTACATACATATACACGTACTTATAGAGATACATACTTTAATAATATTTTTGCATGCATAGAGCAATCCGCTATGCTCCACATTACTGTCCGTCGGTTCATGTCTTAGTTAGTTAATATTAAATTAAGATTAGTTGGCAACAGGTGAATCCATATGCTTGTGTATATAATTGTATACATGAACGTGGATTTCTTTTTATATGTGCCAAGGTTAGAGTATTGTCTACTAGTGCCATCGCTGGCTTTAAGAAAATGATTACTAATATTTTTGGATATAAAAGCTGCTTATAGTGGCAGTAACAAATTGGAAATTAGAAATATAGTAAATTTTGCTTTACTTTGAAACGATTTTCGAATTCAAGTCGGGAGGTGAAAAATATTTATTCGAAGAGCTTTAGTCCAATTAAATAAAAGGAACCGCTTAAAAAACAGGCGTTAACTGAATTTAAATTCCAATTTATCATAAACAATTTATAAAAGAATTTTTATATAAGATATAAGGGTATTTGTAAAAAATGTTTAACATAGTGAAATCGGCTACAAAATTTTTAATGCGTTTTTCTCTCAAACACAATTTTCAGAGTCAGAAAAGAAAGTTTCTCCAAAACGGCTAGAGCGATCTACTTGAAATTTTTACACGAACTTCTTGAATATAGGTATTTTATAATGATGAAAGCTATAAGAGTTTTGTTAATACTTTTGATTTTTTAAGTCAGTCTAATTATAAATTTTTCTGTGGGAAGTTCTAGTTCTTCGATCATTATCTATATTCATCTATAGTAATTAAATTTTTTTTTTAGTTTTCGAATTTTAGATAATTTTTGACAGAAAAATCTTCCTCACTATCTCATCATTTTTCGGTGTTCCTACTTGAGATCGGCTACGAGATCAAGTGAATCCAAAATTTTTCAAATGAAACGCCGTTTATTTAAGTACATTAAATTCTGTAAGTGTACATTTTTTTAATTTATTTATTAAATGAACTGTCTCTTAAAGAAATTCACAAAAAAAGCGTTTTTTCTGACTTGCAAGTCTTTACTTAAGAAAGTTCCAATAATTTCCAAAGCAATTACTCTTTTAACTTCTGCCAACGTATCCAGCTCTGCCATCTGGCTAAACTTTTCTTATATGTTAGACTGGTGCTCCATGTCTAATATCGACAGGTTAAGATATTTTTAAACAGATAGGACTACATAATTGTAGAAATAAATAAGAACGCCTCTGATCTCTCACTCTTTTGAAGGCAAAGGCTGTTGAAATATTTTAATACGTTTAATTATTATAACCAACAAAATATGTGAAGATTGAGAGAATTTAAGGAAACTTTTTTTAATAAACTCGGAGTTTGCGAAGATTCAGACAAATTTAAGGAAACTTTCTTTTAATTTTTTCACGAAATTAAGCATTTTTTTTATTTTATTTATTCTAAAAACAATTAAACTCGAGTTTTGTTGCGCAACATAAACGAACGATTGTAGTGAGTTTCAATAAATTCTTTGACTTTTCAAACAAAATGGCCTACCAAAATGATTTCTTATATGAATTACATATATGTATATAAATATATGAGAAGGCATCGATATATATACATATATATATCCACACCTTATACACATGCTCACGGGCTATTTTCGGTTAATTACGTTATATTTACAAGTCTAATTGAAAAATTAAATATTAATGAATGTACAAATTAAAAAATTTATAAATATATGTACACCCTTAATGAGTATAATTAACAAATACAACAAAATATGGGAAACAGAGAAAACGTATAACGAACTAATTGAAGAGAGTCCTTTTAAAGGACAGGTGAAATGAAAAATTGAAAAATTGAGCAATTACTGAAATTCGCTGAACCAAGCGGAAAATACTACTACAAACACAGGTACACACGCACTTTAAGAAAAATGGCGGCATACTTATGAAGAGGGTAGAAGTTCAAATTGTCAGCGTGTACTTCACAACTTGCAAACTTCCTACTAACCTATATATAAACGAAAATATAAACAAACGCCCACACATATGCGGTCACATGGTAAGCACGCATTTGTAAATGCGTAGGCATTGCAATACCTATACATATATCTACATAGTATATGTATAAATAATTGAGTATATACATTAAACACAAACATATAAATATTTTTTACCAAACAAATACATGCATGCATGTCATATAGCATATATGTATACCGTTTTTCATTGAGTCATTAAAAAGCTGCAGAAAGATATACCAAAACATTTCGAGTGAGGAGAAGAGGCTCAGCGCCATTTTCCTTTCATACACGGTATTTTTTGGGAGGCAACACACAGAGATGTTGGCTAGCCAGCTGCCGACGATGATGTGAGACCACCTGCTAGCACATTTCTAATTAAGCTCCCGAAGGTAAACGGTATTATTTGAAAGTCAGTAGAGCAATTTTGCATTGGCACGCTGCTGTAACGGCAGAGCGGAGCGGGAAGTGAGTAAGAGAGTGAGAGCGTGAAACAAGCGTACGTTAAGTTACAACTCTAAATACAGAAGTGAGCGCTGTAATGAAAACTAGTGTGAAAAAAATGCCTTAGTTCAAATTTTCTTGATTTTCAAATAATACGAAATAAAATATAGACAAATTTTTATACAAAAAATTATATAAAATTCTCAAAAACTATTCCATATTAATATAAATTAAAAAAAATATATATACAAGTATAAAAAAAATAAATAAATAAAAAGCACATGACCAAATAAACATTTTATGGTGCATATCTGGTAGCCAAAGAGCTTTTACACAATTTTTGAAACTAAAATATACATATTATTTGTGCTAAGACTTGTAATAGTTACTTTTAGCTTCTCTTAAAGTTGAGTGTCTCTCTGTTATTCAAAAAATGACATGATGATATACAAAAAGTTGTTTTCATATCTAAAATTAGCATTGTCTTTGGGAAAATCAAGGCTTTTTAATGGAATTCTTTTTTATTTTTAGGCATTACCCTGAATTATAAAACTTAAATTGGGAACGACGTCTTCCCGAAGGGTAGTTATGCTCTCAGTAATAGCATTACCGTGGTTATCTACGAAAGTATTCTAAATTAAAAGTTTAAAAGTAAATGGATTTGACAACCGATAATCCATAAATCACAGAAAAAACATACACATTAACCTCGAATATAAAAAATTTATTAATCTTATAATATTCAAATATTAAATCTAAATTTTAAAAACTAACCATTAACGAAATATACTACTATACATACAATATATGGATCTAATAACTCTTAAGAGGGAGTCAACATTCACTTTGAGCTTAGGAAAGTCAAGAAAGCAGTTGTAAACAATTTGTTTCTATTTCACGCCACACCACTGTAGATATTATCACACATATATAGGCGAAAAGGGAATTCGCTTGCGTGGGCGTATGTATACAGAACGTCATCAAGTAAAATAACAAAAATAACAACAATGAGATTTACATACAAAAAAGGGGATAGCTCGTAGCAACACTGTCTGCCGAATTCGTGAAAGGTAAATTGAGCATTTTCGAAATTTAATTGAACTATAATAAAATTTGTACAGAAATATATTAACAAATTATTTTCAATAAAATTTTTATTACAAAAAACTTTGATTTACATTTTATACAAATTTTTGAAAATAATTTTCGAACAAAATAAAAACATTGCTGAAGGAAATGCAGTTTTGCGTTTAGCTTTTTACTTGGAGTAATAAAAATCACTTAATTTTTATGGAAAAAACTCACCTGCACTATTACCATGAGCCATTTTGTTGCCAACTGTTTGCTTTAACGTCTTCAATAAAACTTAATTCAGCGCTATACTAAATGCAGCACAATAGCGCTAGAAATGTTTAAGTTTCTACGACAACGGACACATTAATGCTTAAATAATTTTGCCAAAAATCACACAAATCTTTACTTTTACACGCAACTCTGCACACTTCGATTATTCGCGTTTAATACCAAATAAATTATCGCCAAATTAGCACTTATCAACCATCAAATTGTAGTTCCAGTCAAATAATTCACATACAAGCACACATATGTGGCATGTTACAATATTATAGAGGCAGACAAAATGAAAAGCCTAGTACTAGCCATAATACGCGCTTTTAAGGGAGAAGACACGTCCGCACACGGACAACTCAAAAGAAAAACTGCCAGCAAAGGTCCGCATATGCGAAGTTAAGAGCTCGTTAAAGTCAAGTTAACTTGTTAGGCACTCTTGTCACTACCACCCCAAGTATTGCAGCATGTTAAATTCCGGCAATTGGTTCGGCAACCACCCCCTCGGCAACGACATTGTGCTGAGCAGCATTAAACGATATTGCTTGGCGATATGAAACTGTTGCTTTCGTATTAACATACCGACAACAAAGAGTTGTTGCTCACATAAGGCCATAGGTGAGTTCAAGGTTTTAAACTAGTTTGTTTTAGAACTAGTACTGATCGACGTTGTGATACTAGAAATATAATATTAATAGAAAAACGTTTCTATAGACTTCTACTACCATATTTCAAAAATGTTTCAAAAAATGTCAGGGCTTATATTTGCTTCTCTATTACGTTAGTATTGTCGAAGATGTAGAAACATATTTAATGTCCATCCCATACTATAGCTCTCGCAAATTGGGAGAGTCTTCCTCTTCTCAAGCATATTGTTAGTTAAGGATGATAGAGGTCGCGTCATAGTGGAATCATATATCAGCAAATTGATTATTTTTGAAACCATATTAAATTATATGAGTATTGCTGTCTCCAAACTGAAAAAACTTTAAAAAAATCACCATAGTATTAAATGCTATATGAAAAAGAAAAATATTTAAAAAATTTTCTTTCAAAAAAATTAAGATATTTTTGATGTCAGTTCCCTATATATTTTTCTCCTCGCTTCTTGTTGCGCTATTATTTATCAAAACCCTAAATCACTTTCTTCACTTTCTCTTTTAAATACCCAGCTCTCTTGCACTCTCTCTGACATATAACAAATTGTTGCTTGTGTGTACGCTTAAGTTACCAGATTGTCACTTTCATTTGGGTAGGTTATGTATTTTAGTGGTTCATTGCATTTTTTAACTCAAACAAGTAACAACTCAAATGCTCTTTTAAACATACAAATGCTTAAAACTTTTCAACGACTCACTCAACTCTCTCATGCTAGCAAGCTCTTCACCCACTCAACGAGCCAAGCACTCACATCAGCTGATTGTTTGGTACTCAATGCTCACTTTAATCCTTGTTGTGACAGTGATGGTGAAAATACGTAAGAGTTTCTCGAGTTTGATTATATACTACTGCTTGTAAGTATGTTTAATTCATGCAATTCAAAAACATTTCCAACATTTTTCGTATTTAAATGGAATTCTCATATAATTTTAATAAACTGAAACTCAAATGTAATGGAAACAAAGTAAGGCGAACTTATATCTCGAGACACAGTTCGACATCCGTTTCAGAGTAATCATTTGATTATTGTTCACAGTAAAATTAAGACATTTTCCACTGGTTATCTGTATTATATAAAAAAGTCTTAAAAACTACTTTATTGCAGGATAAAAATGCCGAAAGGCAGTAAGAAGCTTAGAAAATATAAATTTCGAAAAAATGTATTATATTTTTTTCATATTCCTTTAAAAATAACATACCACAAACAATATTTTTTTAGTTAAAGGCTTCTAAAGTGTAGCCGGTCAGTTCAGACTGCTCCATTAGTTTTCTTTAATCGCATTTTACCCGAAACAGAATTTTTTCAAATAATATATAATAACCTAATAGCGTTTTGATCTGATTAATAACCAAATTTTGGCAAGATAAAAATTACCAAATCGTACGGTAAAATTCAACTTTTTTTAAACGCAGCGATTTTGTAATATTTTGATTTTTTCGAACGTAGGTCATTGTACGGCAGTATCTTCTAGTAGAGAAGTTTTATTAGGTTTCATCCACGAGGAAGGTTCGAATTATTTAACACTAGAACTACGAAGATTGTTGTGTATGGTAACGTATTTCAAATAGGTCTCTCTCTCTTTGAAAATTAGAAGCGTAAGAACAAAATAGTCTATAATATTTAATAAAAATCATGACATTATCGTAAAATATTAAATAGGAATAAAGAAGAAATAGTCGTAGTTCTTGTGTTAAACAGTGATGGCGTAAAATGTATATATTTTTTTTGCTTCAACTTCACTAAACAACAATTTTGACAGTTCTAAATCATTTTACCAAGTCAATAGATGCAATTAAACACTAATGCAATAGTGCGTCAGGTCGTATGAGTAACATTTTTCAGCATATAAATGTTGTCTCACATCCACCAGACGGTTTTAAATGAATAACAAGGAAAACACAAAATGTGTATAAATGACGTCTACATACTCACCCACCTTTATACTCATAAGTATATATACAATATATTAAATGAATAATAAAACGCAATGCTTGTACTTTCAATATAAACATGTATGTATACATATAATCTCATTCACTACTTTGTAATAATATATAATGTATGTGTTTGTATATAATTTCACTAGATATTTCTATATGGTATTTTTATACTTTAATATTCATAATTTGTATATAAATAATATATGTATGTATGTATGTATGTATGTATTATGTTTTACAATTGTCTTAATATTTCTCTTTTCATCTCGTGAATATTCTATTGTTTTCACTTTTTTCTACATATGCTACTTGTGTGTTATCATATGGTTATGTGGCTATATGTTTGTATGTATTTACTATAAGCAATTACGCGCTATACATATACATACATTTGCAACTGTAAATAATGTTTACTTTGCTTGCTGTTTACTATATTTTCAATGCCATTACAAGTTATAATAAAATAAGTAAATAAATAAATAAATTAATTTTTAGTTTTTTTTAATTTAAAAGTTTCTTTTTATAAATAAATATTAAAGTAAGTAAAATTTGCTATATAAAATTAGTAAACATTTTTTATTCGGACGCATACTCGAAGAAGTTAATATGCATTTAGAATATTTGGAAACCTTTCTATCTCTCTCTCTGTGTTTCATATGTGTTACTATCTACCCAGTAGGAAACTATGGGGAAAATTAATATTACAATCGCAATATAGTAATTTAATATACACAACCATAATTAAATTTTAAATAAATTAAAAATGACAATACTGAGCGGCCTTTTATATAAAAATCATAATTTAATAAAGTAAATGCATAAGTATTTGATAATTATGTTTAACAACAGTTTTCACTTCGGTTTCTCATATAATTAATTAGTATTTTTCATAAATTCAAAGCAAAAAGTTGCAATATCAGTTTTTAAATAACAAAATCGCTTACTTTTTCTAAATATGTATATTTTGGCAAGTTCAGCTTATAAACAGAACTTTTAACTAAAAACAACTTACAAATAATGCTTAAAAAGATTAGTAAAAAAAATTTCGAGAAGTTAAAAATTAGAATTGATTTATACATTACTTTAACATCAGTTTACTTGATATATAAGGTATACGTTTCTAAAAATAGAATATAAATATTTATGTAAATATTTTTGTCTTTTTTAAGTAAAACTTTTATACTTTTTAACAAATATTAAAAAGTGTCTAAGTTGTCAGAATCAACTGAGGCGCCAAGCGCTCGAACTGCTGCTTTTTGTTATAACCTAAAAATATTCAAAAAAAAGTTTTATAAAATCGAAATCAAGTAAAAAAACTAATATTTTCAAAATATAACAGCATACGTTTTGGCGCAAAAGCGCTTAAATTATATATATATATATGTATAACGTTGCGCAGTTTTTGTTTAATTGTAACATAAAAAGTATCAAAAAAATTTTAATCCAGTAAAAAATTATGTTTTCAAAAAAATACAGCATACATTTAGGCGCAAAACCAACAATTTGGTTATGTACAATGCGTTTTTGTCATCAATAATGCAACGTAATTAATCGGCATATACCAGGCATAGCGCTGCTAATTAATGCATTTTGTGGCATATTAATACTTTTAAACATATTTTTGGACATTTTCTATGTATAAATGTTTTTCTTTTATGCGTGTTTAACAATTTTTTAGCAAATTCTTCAACAAATAAATATTGCATTGTATAAAAAGCAACACATTTCGAATACATATGCTTGTTTTGTCATGCGCATGCATGTTCAAACATGTTTAAGCATTACCAACAATGTAAATAACAACTACTTCTTTTAAACTTTTTGTTTAAACATACACATAATATTTTTTTAGTATTTTTATATTTATAGCTTTCTTCTGCATTTTTCAATAGATTTCACTTTACTGGTATACAATTTTGCATTTACATAAGTTTGATGTTTTTATTTATTTACAAATTTTTATGTAGGTACGCATCTATATATGTAGGTATGTATGCTTGCTGACAGGAAGTATAAAATTGTGGTGATTCCCTACATTTTCGCTATATTTGTTTTTTTTTCAATGCTGCCATATTTAATATGTTATGCATCTAAATATCGTTGGCTATAACTTTATAATATAGTTCATAATATACTACTTGCACTTTTATAAATCTGTATAATCTTACTATGCAACTTTTTCCCACAAAGTTTAACAAGCATTTCACCAAACTCATCACTAAGTACTTACTGTTATATGTATGTATGTGTGTATGTAATATTCACTGTGGTTATTTTCCACTTCTAGATTCTACTCTTTTTAATTATTTTTTTTTTTTTTGTAAACATTTATTTATTTTATTTAATGAACTCAGGTCGCTATGTATTTCACTGTATGAAATTGTTGAGTTATTTCTCCCTTTACAGGACTACATTCCCAGCCGTTTAGCAAGTTTTTTTTTGTTTTGGATCTGAAAGCCTGTCACAAGTTGCTTCAAACTACATATATGTACATATAAATATTTTTGTTTTTAACCGCAATTTATATATTATCTACATTTAATAGTTTTCTTTGTGTTTGTTTTTACTTTTTCAACTGTGTATATATTACTAGGTATACATATAATATATATGTATTAGTAATGAGTATTAGTTCAAACAATGATATTTACATGAGTTTATACATTTGGCTGTTGCAATCAATGCATACTTTTAACCATTATGTGTCTGCTCATGAGAGCATGCACTCTTTCGTTTCGTTTATTTTTTCAATTAGAAATTAATTTTTGTTAGTAAATTAAAACAAAAAATTAATTATACTGTAAAAGTAATAAATAAAAATTGTTTTGGAAGTTAGAAAAAAAATATATGTATATTTTTGGAGTTTTTTACTAT